ACGTCTTTTTCGATTACACAGCTGGAAAAAAACTGCTTTTTATCTCCACGTCCGGCCTGGTGATGCATGATTGAGACATCGACAGAAGGCTTATTGATAGTAGATTCCGGAAATACAATTTTCAGGCAAGCCCAAATTCAAGTCTCTGCTACAAGGGTCTTGTAATTCGATAGAACATCAGGTTCGAAACCGCATAATATTAACTTTCACGTCTTTTTCGATTATGCACCTGGAATAACCTGCTTTGTATCTTCATGGACTGTCTAGTGCTACACGAATAAGGCATCGATAGAAAGCTCGTGGGCCGTAAATTCCAAAAATACAATTTTCAGACCGTGACAAATTCACGTTTCCGCTACAGGGACCTTGAAATTCAATAGAACATCAGATTCGAAACATCCAAACCCTAACCCTCACTTATATATTATTAACTTTCACGACTTTTTCGATTACACAGCTGGTAAAAACTGCTTTTTATCTCCACGTCCAGCCTCGTGATGCACGAATGAGGCATCGACAGAAAGCTTATTGATCGTAGATTCCAGAAATACAATTTTCAGGCTAGCCCAAATCATAGCCAAATTCAAGTCTCTGCTACAAGGGCCTTGAAAGTCGATAGAACATCAGGTTCGAAACAGCATAATATTAACTTTCATGTCTTTTTCGATTATGCACCTGGAATAACCTGCTTTGTATCTTCATGGACTGTCTCTTGATGCACGAGTAAGGCATCGATAGAAAGCTGATGGACCGTAGATTCCAAAAATACAATTTTCAGACCGGCGTAAATTCACGTTTCCCCTACAGGGACCTTGAAATTCAATAGAACATCAGATTCGAAACATCCAAACCCTAACCCTCACTTATATATATTATTAACTTTCGCGTCTTTTTCGATTACACAGCTGGAAAAAACTGCTTTTTATCTCCACGTCCAGCCTCGTGATGCACGAATGAGGCATCGACAGAAAGCTTATTGATCGTAGATTCCAGAAATACAATTTTCAGGCTGGCCCAAATTCAAGTCTCTGCTACAAGGGCCTTGAAAGTCGATAGAACATCAGGTTCGAAACAGCATAATATTAACTTTCATGTCTTTTTCGATTATGCACCTGGAATAACCTGCTTTGTATCTTCATGGACTGTCTTTTGATGCACGAGTAAGGCATCGATAGAAAGCTGATGGACCGTAGATTCCAAAAATACAATTTTCAGACCGTGACAAATTCCTGTTTCTGCTGCAGAGGCCTTGAAATTCTATAGAACGCAAGGTTCGAAACCGCATAATATTAACTTTCACGTCTTTTTCGAGTATGCACTTGGAATAACCTGCTTTGTATCTTCATGGAGTGTCTTTTGATGCACGAGTAAGGCATCGACAGAAAGCCTATGGACCGTAGATTCTAAAAATACAATTTTCAGACCGGTGTAAATTCACGTTTCCGCTACAGGGACCTTGAAATTCAATAGAACATCAGATTCGAAACATCCAAACCCTAACCCTCACTTATATATTATTAACTTTCACGTCTTTTTCGATTACACAGCTGGAAAAATCTGCTTTTTATCTCCGCGTCCGGCCTAGTGATGCACGAATGAGGCATCGACAGAAAGCTTATTGATCGTAGATTCCAGAAATACAATTTTCAGGCTGGCCCAAATTCAAGTCTCTGCGTCTTTTTCGATTACGCATGCAGCTGGAAAAACCTGTTTTTTTTTATGTCCACGGACGGTCTATGGTGATGAAGAATAAAGCATTGACAAAAAGCATATTTGACCGTAGATTTCGAAATACAATTGTCAGACTGGTCCAAATTCAGGTCAATGTTAACAAGGGCCTTGAAATTCAATAAAACATAAGGTTCGAAACGGCATATAATGATAAATTACGTTGCATAACATTAATGCATACATGCACTTGTTGAGGCCCAAAATGATTTTTAGACAACCAGGAATCGAACCTGGCTTCACACAATTGCAACACTTCGTCCTTACCACTAAACCAACTCGCCTACACTTGCTTTAACTCCTTTTTTATTCTACTAAAATGCTTTTGGACTACAGCAGTCATTAAGGAATCGATCCTGGCTTTACGCACTTGCAACACTTTGTCTTTATACCACTAGACCATCCCGCCTACACATGCTTTAACTCCTTTTTTATTCTACTTCACTCTTTCTCGTCTCGAATTTGATTGGCCGGTTTCCAATCAACTTGATCTCGTGTTTATAGTTCCCAAATTCCCAACCAACCTCGCAACTGTCGCGGCCAAAGTTTCGTGAAATCAACTTTAAAATTATATATTAAACTCTATTACCGATTTGTCATATCTTGCTTAGTTCTTGAAATATTTAGACCGAAATTAATGAGCTGTCCGTTATCTTGGACTAATTCTGTGACCTCATTAACTATGGTTTTGATGACGTCAGGAGTTGGGTTAACCATATAAAACTACTCTAAAATGACCGAGTAACAATCCAAAATTGTTTGAAATGTTTTTAATCATTTCTAAATTTCAGACGGCAACCAGAAATGATGTTTTGGACCAATATTGATTACATTACTTTCAAGATAAAAACGTGACCCCTTTCTTGATGTAACATGCATATCCTCAGTAATCCAATCTCACTTTTTTCAGTCGAAATATTTTGAAAACTAAGCAAGATATAAACAATCTTTAACAGAGATTAATATATAGTTTTAAACGTTCTTTCAAATGAACTAAACTAATTTTTTATTGCCAATGTCGTTTAAAATTCAGCCCAATGAGGCAATGACAATGTATACGTATTACCAAAATCATGCATGGATGCTTCCTCTCCCCCGAAAAACATGTCTTATTTTCATGTCAAAACATTCAGGAATGCTACTGAATGGACCTTTAACCTTATAACTAAAATTTTGATCTTGACAAAAATTTCATCACAGCTTGAAAGAGCATCATAAAATTAGCAATATTCCAAAGTTTCGTTGCGAAATGTTGTAAAATGCGGATAATATAGCCCTGCGAAGTTTGCCATTTTTCAGTCATTTTAGATTACAAACGGGAAATGGATACCCAAACACCCGATTTGGATATCAATTTCCCGTTTGTAATCTAAAATGACTGAAAAACGGCAAACTTCGCATGGCTATATTATCCGCATTTTACAACATTTCGCAACGAAACTTCGGAATATTACTAATTTTATGATGCTCTTTCAAGCTGTGATGAAATTTTTGTCTAGATCAAAATTTTAGTTATAAGGTTAAAGGTCCATTCCTGCTTAAATGCATGTCAAACTTTCATTAGCCAATTCCAGCACAATTTCCAGCAGACCGTTCAGATGTCGCCGTTTCAGTCCAAATGGACGATTCGTCGATTCCTGCAGTTATAGACGAAATTTTGATCTAGACAAGAAGAGAGAAATTCATTACCATAGCTTGAAAGAGCATCTTAAAATGAGTAAAATTGCAAAGTTTGGTTTGCGAATTGTTGTAAAATGAGGAAATATATAGCCCTGCGAAGTTCGCAAATTTTGTATATAATTGCATTAGTAGCATTACGCGCGGGAAAAATAACCATTTTTGACTGAGCCGAAAGTGGTTATCTATACCGCGCGTAATGCAAATGCAAATGGTGTATTTACCTGTATGCACAGAATTTGCGAACTTCACAGAGCTATATTTTTCTATTATTTTCCTTGCAGTTTGCCGCCAGTTTTACTCATTCTTCGACGCTCTTTCTAGCTGTGGCGTTGGATTTCGTTCTTCTTGCCTTAATTAAAATTTTGTCTACAGGGTGTATCAAAAAAAGCGCAATCCTCGACTGAAATGTAAATTGCTAAACAAATAATAGACGAAAACGTTAAAGTTTACATTCATTTTAAAGCGTAGCCATTCAGCTTTCTAACAGTGAGTTGTTTCTTAAATTTGACTCATTGGTTCGCGGGTAATAATACTTTACGTTATTGCGATTGGAGATTAAAAAAATTGAGATGGAATAACAAATCGTTCTCATGAAAATAACTGATTTTTTCATTAAAACAAAAAAATGTTGCATTTTATTAAATGGATTGTAACAATAAGTATAATTACGGCTTTTCTTCCACTATTTTTAACTCAGTTTGAAACTTTAAATGCGATATAATTTTGGCTTGGACCATCTAAGCTGACTGACATCAACTTGCTATAATTTCTGTTTACATTACATCGCAATTCGATGACACTCTGGCTCAGACACCAGAATGTTTTGACGATTTTTAGCATTCGTTTAGGATTTTCAAACAACCTGGTCTCTTTTAAAATACTTTTAATTTGTTCTTACGTGGTTTTCCAGATGTAGTGACGACAACATTAAAGTTTAAAGAAGAAAATTCTAACATTTAAACCGACTAAACAATAACATAGTAAACTTGCATAATTAAACAGCAACTAAAAATGATAGGTTTTACTAAATCTTTTCCTGTGCAATTATTACTAGCATTGGAGACAAGGATAATAGTTTGTTTGAAAGAGAAAAGAACAGGCTTTGAAGTAAGCCTAAAAGCGTTTAACTAGAAACAGTATTTCGAAAGTTATTAAGCACAAAAGATGAATTGCGTTTATTTTGATACACCCTGTATAGCTGCATGGAATCACCCATTGTCAATTTTGACAACGTTAGGAATATAGTCACATTCCAGAATGTTTTTACACAAAAACATGACACGTTTTTAGGTGAGAGGAAGGATCCGTGATTTTGGTAATAAACCTTGGCAAACTATATACTGTCTGAGTAACATAATGAAGAAAAGAACTTTATACCAGTGGAAAGACTAGCTCAAAATTAGTATAGCTATACAAAGTTTGAACACATTTGGATAGATACATTACAGTATGAATAACAAGTCTTCAAGCTAGCTTTCGTTGCCAAGTTATTCATGCGTTGAGACTTGAGAGGTATAGTAATGATGAAATTGATGATAAAATATATAATACTGATTTTTTGGTAAGTTTTATTTATTTGAATTCAAATGGAGACGCTTTATTTCAGGTTGATAGAAAATGTCTAAGAATGAGAACTGGCAGTATCTGAATAAACTCTTTCATTAAAGGTACTATCTTACTGGATTTCACCCAAATAAACTTCATAAAAAAAACACTTCATACTTCGTGAGGTGGTCTTACACAAATGCAAAATTCTTGTAGCAAGTCTGCCAACAAGCCGTCAACAAGTTGTGTTCGCACTGCTTGTCCCAAGTTGTCAACGAGTTTGGAAAAAGCTGATAACAATTTGTAACAACCTTGTTGATATTATCAGACTTCTTGCAAAGTTTGTTCCTGCAAGTCCGACACAGTCATGATATATACAACCTCGTATCGTCAACCTTGTAACATTCTTGTTATATCGTGACTGTATATCAGACTTGTTAGTACAACCTTGTAACAAGTCTGATAATGCCATCAAGCTTGTTGCAAGTTTAACAGCTTGTTCATAACTTGTCGACAGCTTGTGAACAGATTTGTAACTTGTTTGCAGACTTGTTGTGCATCACGCAAAAATGCTGTAACCAAACATTAACACAAAATCTAATTTACAATTTAATCTCAAACTCATTGATAGTTCATGAGTAAAGTAGCCAACCATATTGCATTATTTTGCTCACATGATAATACTGGACACCCGGGGCAGGTTGTTCAAAGGTCGATTAGCGCTAATCCAGGGTTAAAATTTAACCCGCTGTTTTAGTTTGCATATTTCTGCAAGTCTATTGATTTCAAAATGTCAGAAAAGAAAACTCCTATTTATCCAGACATGATTTGTGAAGACATATTTCCAAATTTAAAAACAAGTTGTCAGGAAGTGTACTTTGAATTTTAAGTTAACCTAGGCGGTTAAGCTAATCGGTTTTTGAACAACCGGCCCCTAGTGAAGTATATTGTTCCAGGGTCCTTGGACTGGATCAAAATTAAGTTGTGATTTATTGGTATGAAATGTCATTTCAAATCCTCCTCCAGTCAAATGGACCATTTGCGTTATAGACTAAATTTTGATCTAGACAAAAATTTCATCACAGCTTGAAAGAGCATCACAAAGTTATAGTAATATTCCAAAGTTTCGTTGCGAAATGTTGTAAAATGCGGATAATATAGCCTTGCGAAGTTTGCCGTTTTTCAGTCATTTTGTATTACAAACGGGAAATTGATGCCCCAACACCCGATTGGGCTGTCAATTTCCCGTGCGTAATATAAAATAACTGAAAAACGGCAAACTTCGCATGGCTATATTATCCGCATTTTACAACATTTCGCAACGAAACTTTGGAATATTACTAATTTTGTGATGCTCTTTCAAGCTGTGACGAAATTTTTGTCTAGATCAAAACGTAGTCTATAATGCAAATGGTCCATTGCGAGGACTTGAAATCTATAGTACAGTCCTCCTGGTCGGATTTGGAGTATTGCATTAGCCTACTGCTGTCCTATACTGTGTATACCCAAAACACAATACACGAAATATTTTAGCTCTTAAACATGTCGCACAGTAGGCTTTCAATAGCCACACTGCCGATTGTCTGTCTAAAAAATAAGGTCTCGATTGTCTTGGTATTTATCATCCTGAGCGATGGCAAGTTCAATAAAAGTTTTCCAAAGCGCACTTGTTGTCCAGGATAGTGGCGACGCACGTAGTCGTTTAGCATCATCTGCGCTTGATCTTGACACACCTCTATCCTTTGCGGGTCTCGCAAACCACGGAGATCTATGGAAGTAAAGATAGAATAGGTAACATGGGTACATTACATTATTATGGGTACATTAATACATGGGTAACATTTTTTGAATCCATTAATGGGTTTGAAGATTTACCATGTATACTATCAATATTAAAAATTGAACTCTTACGATTTTTCAATGTCACATATTTGCGATGAAAAGTGTTCAAAACCTAAAATTTTTTTGGCGTTCCTCTCAAAATTACTTTGTTTTAGCTTTGTTTTGTAGTTTACACAGCTAGCAACCTTTTTAAATGTATCTGCATGGCGGTTGAGAAACACAAAATAATAGTTACATATTGTCAATTGAATACAAATATCATTAATGCTGTAAAATTGACGCCATACTTATACAGCAATATAAGCAAAACTTGCTGAACTTCAGACATCATTCTCTCTAATTTGGTGTACCACCTAAAATCTCTTCATTTTAACATAATTTTACATGCAGATAAAGCACTAAACATACTTTTAAAGTTTGTTTGCCGCTTGAGAAACGTGTCAAGGAAACTTGTCAGTCAAAGAAAACTTGTTGACCGTCAAAATCACGGCATTTACCCATACATATCTTATATATATACACTAGATAGTGCATCTAATTATTCTGCAATTCAAAAATTGAAGCCCGTGATTGCAGACTCAGGATATTCCCATGAAATGAGAAGATTGGTATGTTTTCTATTTCTTAAACAGGGACTTAAACATTAAGTTAAACCTATTCCAAATATATTTCAAATGATAAAAGTTATTGTTGTTTTTTTAAGCGTTTATTAGCGAGTGGGAAACACCAACATGGCCGCCATCTATTCAAATGGGGGTAACCGCTGGAATATTCTTGGCTTCAATTTTACTAAAGCAGATGCGCTCAGTAGTGTATATAAGATATCTATGCATTTACCTGATTTAAACAGGACCACAGCCTTTAGACAGGCTAGTTCAGCTTCACAGATGTGTAGAGCTCGAAATCTCCCCGTGATCTCTTGAAGTAGCCTGATATCCCCCATCGTAGTAACAATCTTCTCAGCCGGCGTGTTGTCCACGTGCATGCCAGCTGATGCCAGGAGGGGGGCGACCTCTATGGACAGATTAGTTTGTATTGCACCAAGTATAAACAATTCCCGCCAGCCTTCCTCCAATAGGATCACTTGATCTCGGAATGGCAGGTTCACAAAAGATGGAATATTCCGGGCCCACCGTACGGCCATGAATAATAATCGGGCGGCCGCCTCGCAGGTGTTCTCGTGCGGGCTACAGAACATAGGGAAGCACTCTTGTCCGGCATAGGTTGGACTCGGGTATCCGGGCCTCAGAGGGTATTCTCGGTAAGGTTCGGCGATTATAAGGCTGTTCAAAAACTCATTTCCAGGGACTTTTAAGAACTCGTGGTCTTCGAGGGATTTTGACATGCGCAGTGAGTTCGGTTGGCGCTCTTGCTGTACTGCTGAAATAGAAATAAGTTTTGCCATGATATAAATAAATATTAATAGTTCATGAAACACAAGAGAAATCATGAGCGTGAAAGAGTTTGTATATCTGATACAGAATCATGCTGATTTACATAAACTTTAAGTTCAATTTTCTCTCCAAATATCAAATGTATTGTATAGTTAGTTTTCCCCAAGAATGCCCCAATATGTTTTTTCTTTAATCTCTTGATATTCGACTGACGAATTAAACCAACCGTTTGCTTTCTAGAATAACTTGAAGTGGCGACATGGACCGATATTTCAAACTTGTCCAAGTTATGGAAATTAGGTAAGAAATATTTCACTACTCTTACAAACTGCAAACGATGGTCTAATTTAGGTTATGATCACAGTGGCTTCGTAGTTTCACTCGTATAACAAGAGCGAAAATGGGCAGGGGTTTGCGAGTGGGGGGGGGGAGCCGGCCAACAGACTATTATAAATTATATTACGAATGTCCGAAAAAGGCGGGGGAGGTAGGCGTTCCCCGCGTGCCCCCGCGATGTTTTGCCCTTGACTCGTAATAATACACATATCGGTCATGCTGCGTTTTAAGATGACAGGGTCATTAAACTTTTAAAATATACCCGTTTATTGCAGACAACTGCACGAATCAAGTATTATATATAATAACATATACTGAACAAATATGAAAACACTTAGAAAATTTGTGTTCTCTCTATAAAAACACTGGGAAAAATAGTGAAATTTATACTATGTTTTGTATGGAATTTGAAATTTCATGAATAATTTGTAATGTATCCATATCGTATTATATTCATAGTATGGAAATTGCAATTAGTATATGAAAATTGCATTTCCATACTATTTCCATAACGAAGATCCATGCTACTTTCACGGCGAGGATTTAAAAAAAACCCAGTGAAACCGTTTCTACAATTCATAAAGGCAATAATTTGAGTGATTATAAGAATACTATAGTGCAGTACAGAATTCCATAAGTTCAAACCGCGATTTCGAGCATACAAACGATTCACGCAGTGTACAAGCCGAGTCGAGACGAAACATAAAACTGTTTGTGCACAGTGTGTTTCGCTAATTCCTGCAATATGAAATCCGGTCTGAGTAAAACGCTGGTTTTCAGCGAGTTACTGGACCTCAAGGGAGAACAGGACGGCTACCCATGTCTAAGTAAACTACAATTTAATTCTAGCTACTATATAGACACTAGCTTGCGGTTTCGAAAGGACAAATAAGCGAGCCGTTTTAGAAATTCACCCGACAATTAAAGTGAGCCAATTCTTCCAATTACTCTCGTATTTTTGATAGCAAGATAATAGGCGAATTTCGGCGAGCGTGTTTGAAGTGAATTGCAAGCTATATTAATTATTAACCGCGCGCAATAGGGTGTTGACAGGCAAAAGCATCGCGAACAAGCTTTTAACACGCGAAAAAAACTTCAATACTGCATCTATGTGCAATGTTATGTCCATATGTCACGGCATGAAAAATGCCCGTTCTGCAAACGCCCAAAAACTTGTCTTCCGGCTTAACACACGCGACCAAGCTTATTACAAAGTCTTTGTCTAGTCAAATAACAATTAGCCATTCATTTTATAAAAGAAATTGTTACTTTTATCATCTAATTTGCTTACAAAGCGAACCAAACAGCTGAGCGCGTGCGACATTGTATAATCAAATTCATTAAAACTACTAATTTGTTTAAAAAAATCAAGACTGTAATATCTAGTTTGAGGGCAAAGTTTTGGCCTCGTTCTAACAAAATAACCCGAAACGTTCTTGCACTTTTGCTTTTAGGATGAGAGGCTCGCTAACCAAGCGTAAAATTAAGAGTTTAAATAGATGCGTGGAGCCACCTGCTTGCAAAGTAATTTCATTTCACTATATTGCAACTCACGTGTCAGTAATATGCCGTCAATAAGTGTCTGTTGGTTTACGAAATGACAGTAATATTAGTATCATTGTTGTAGCTTATTAAGAACGATTGTTTGCACAGCTCATATACCGCAAAAATAGGATTAATATTGGGCTTAGTCTGTGTATATGAGCGACACACACCTTAGGATTTTTAATATATACATGCATATATACACTCTTCGTTTTATATAAGAGTACAAAATTTCATGCACATGCATGGATTATAGATATCTTATATCATGCTTGTTGGTTGTATAGCCAATCGTCAGATCTATGGTTTACGGGTTCAGACAACTAGCTATAGCTTTTTGGAGTTTTTAGATATCTATATAGTCTATATAGCTCACTGTTTCTGCATGATTTTTGGAGTAGGCATGTAACTTTATAATTCTTAGTTCACACATAAGCTTTGATGTTTTTATTGTAGTAGACAATGGGGGTGCCATCATTGCACGGCTCTCTGTAATGTCAATTGCAGCATGACAAATTTACGCTTAAAAATCGTTTTACGTACATTCTTAGATTGCGGAATGCAGTGTTAGGTATAATGAGATATGTCAGATATTTTTGACAAATTTACATGTACGGTATATTTTTGACAGATTTACTACATTTAGGCTTAGTGTATTCAGATTTATTTCAAGTATTCCTGACAAATTTAGGCTTTGTCTATTTAGGCTTAGTGTATTTAGGCTTATTTATAAAGGTATATATTTCTGACAAATTTAGGCTTAATAAGGGAATAGAAATTTCGTTTGGCGAATCCGAAATAAAGGTGGCGTTGTGGCGCGAGGGAGGAGACAGGGGCCTGGGTACCCACTTTTCGAGAAACGGCCATTGCATACAGACTACAGGATAAACTAAACTAACTTTATTTATACTGGGTGGCTCTATATCTCGCTTATCAATTCTGTCTATACCAAACCGTTGTTCATGGCCTATATAGAGATCCATCCCATTTCTGGTACACTGTTAGAGGGGGAAAATGTGTTTCCGTACAAAACCTGCTGTGTCAGATATAGACTACAGAGTCAAACTGGTAACGCTCTTCTCACAAGCGATCGAAGTGAAATTATAATCAGACACACTGCATGATGTTGCAAGATTTGAACCTCAGTCACAACGGTAAAAGACGCATAGAGTGAAGCGCTGTATGTGCCGAAAACACCCCTATAGGTTTCGTCTCGACACGGCTTTGACGCTGCGTGAAACTTCGTATGCTAAAAACTGCGGTTTGAACTTACGAAACTGTAGAGTGACATTGTCACATTGAGTATGCTATTTCAAATCTAAGACTCCATATCGGTGTCCGTTTTTGGAATATAGAAATAGTTTTATATATATAGAGAGAACACAAGTGTTTTCATATTTCTACAGTGTATTTATTATACAATACGTATAAGCTTAGATTCGTGCAGTTGTCAGCAATAAACGGGTATGTTTTAAAAGTTTAATGACCCTGTCACCCCATCAGCATGCATGCACGGTAAGTGCTTTGCAAAACTGAAATATACTCTCAAAACAACGTTGAAAATGCCGGTTTCGGCTGCTTCTCACAATTGAAGTTTCTTGTATTCAGCGGAAAAAATAACTCTGTAATTTCAGTCCTTACTCACAGGCTACATATTTACACTGTATACTGGATATAGCTTCCCGTGGCGGCGTGAAAAACACCTATCTGAAACGGAATGTACAAATTTCAGAAGCAGAGCGAAACAACATCTCTCCGTTGCAATAATTCCTCTTTCTTTTTTTCGTTTCCTGACGGATACGAATGAGTGAATTCACATCCAAAAGTATAGAATCGCGTTTTGGAAGCATACATTTCGCATGTCATTCATTCAATCGCATCCGCCAGGAGGAGAACAATTGCAGGCTTTCTTGCCATCCTACTTTTCCTACTTTTCCCTACTTTTCTTCAACTTTCCTACTTTTCCTATTTTTTATTAAAAATTGCTTGATTTTCTTATAAAATCCTACTTTTTTAGGACCGCTTGAGGAATCAGTATGTTACAGCTCTCGTAATTAGATCTATAGGACTCGTAATTTTTATTCTCTATATTTGTGTCCCAGATGACAAGATTTCAGGAAGAGAAGAAGTACATTTTCCGAGTATAAAATTCCATAGAATCTCTAGAATCATAATCAATAAATTAATGAAGATCTAGAGATTCCATTCATAGATGAATGAGTAGAAAAAATATAGTGAGTGCCAAAAATTCCCCATCAGATATCTAATAGTCCACCCCTTACCCCATATATCCTAGGTGGCCAATTTTGTATATTTTTGTGTTATTTGCATCTCAAAAACTCCTACTTTTCTACACATTTTCATACATTATTCCTACAGTTTTCTTAAAATTCTAGTCCTATTTTTATCCTACTTTTCTACACAAGGATGCCAGAAAGCCTGCAATTGCCAATAAAATTGCTAAATGTGAACTAGGCTTCAAGGCTATAGGCAATTTTTGCTGCAACTTGTAATGCAATATTGCAATTTCGCGTACAGAGCAATGTTATCTACTGTAAAAATATCACTCGTGCACAGAGAAATGTATGAGCGTGGCTCGTGATCTAATCAGTTTCGACACTTTCTTTACATGAAAAATGAAAGAAATGGATAAAGATCGTTATAGATTTAGGCTCGTTGTCAGAAATGTCGTTTCACGCTTTCTGCGGACCTCTAGATTGCGTTATAGTCATATAGAGCTATCCAGTGTGAATAGAATTTAATTGAAAGTCAAGTGCACGAATTAAACATTCTACCAGTTGACATGGACCAACATGTAAAAATAGCCCAAAATAATGTACATCGTAATAGCGTTCCATTAACTGCGTTGGATTGCGTGTACTGATGTTGTGCTTCTGGGCGCCATAAGTGACGGACCAGACACCTCAAAAGCAGGCATCTCTGCAGGATATGGCCCACGCTCTGGTGGCAATATTGTACAATAGTCAATAACATGTTTTTAACTGTTCTGATCATTCTAGACTACATAGACTATACACATTGTTCTTAAAGTTTGTTGAGGTCTCGAAAAGCATGCATGTTTTGAAATTATTATAAATTTATACCGTAGTTCACTTATATTGGATAACTCTATCGGTTTTAAACGGTTCTCGCTAACGGTTCAATAAAGAGCCATCCCAATTCCCGACTATTTTCCGAATCGTAAACAACGATTCCAAAGAATGAATTACGCATCAATGAATTGAATATTTAAGTAGCTATTAAACTCGAGTCTCTGTATGTTTGTTGGCAAATTGATAGGACCAGTGTACAAGATTTTCGCTGAATCTTGGAAAATGATTCGAGTAGAATTTGGAAAATCCACAGTCCTATGTCAGGATACGTTTATTGATATAGCCATATCAGTTCTAAACTGTTCCTCCTAGCTAGAGATCCCCTATTGTTTCATTGTTACTATAGACAAAACAAAACAGTTACTATATAGCTACTACTTTGAATCAAGGGATGTCCTGGCACCTCCCCCTTGCACTTACAATTATCTTATCATATTTCCCCCTTGTGAGAAAAGTGCTGCCAGTTTGACTCTACCAAACACCAAAGATTCTCTCCAGATATTCCAGATTCCTCCCGTAGTAACACTGGATCAATAATGGATGGCCGCTCACTGGACGTCTATAGACTGCTGATAGTTTAGAACTGATAGAGCTGCCCAATGAATAAAGTTAGCTAAACTTATAAGTTTCCTTCTGTTATAACACTGGATCGGTAGTGGATGGCACTCACTGGGCATCTAGAGCTGACAGTTTAGAACTGATAGAGCTATCCAGTAAGAATAAAGTTAGCTATAAACTTAAGTTTCATTCTGTTGTAACACTGGACCAAAAATGAATGACCCTTACTGGAGTCAAGAGGTGACAGTTTATAGAATTGATAGAGCTATCCAGTATGAATAGAGTTAGCTATAAACATAAGTTTCCTCCCGTTGTAACACTGGATCAATAAGTGTGGCTCTTTGTGGAAGAACAGTTTAGAACTAATAGAGGTATCTAGTATGGACAGAATGATCTAATTTTCCAGCTTACCAAACTTATTCATCTTTGCATCGAGACATTTCTTGTATCTGCAAGCTTGGCATTGATTTCTTCTTTTCTTGTCCACGATACACGAACCATTTCCCTTGCACGTGTACACAGCATCCCTCCTCACGCTTCGCATAAAGAAGCCACTACACCCATCGCAAGTGTACACGCCGTAATGGCGGCCTGACGAGACATCGCCACAAACCTTGCATAAGATCTCTGTCTTACGTTCGTCCTGCGAATCGTGGGGTGATACACTTGGGATGATGACTTTTCTCTCCTCTGAAGAAAAGCGAGCTGTAATTAGTGCCTATAATTATATGCCTTTCGCCTATGAGGTTGGGTTAAATTACTGCAATATGTCTGATTCTATAATTTCACCTCAGCCACATGAGAAAGAGTGTCCGGGCTCGGTTTGATTTGATTAAACTCGGATTCTCTTTCTTCCTATGAAAACACTGCACAACCAAGGGATGAGCCTCACTTGACTTCTAGGAAAAACAGCTCTACCAGTTTTAAATAAACTTATCAATCCGTTTTCTATAACTTTACTTCATCTATAGCTCCCAATTAGTTCGTTAGGTTTGTTCAAAAGAAAAGTTTAAATCAACCTATGTTTAATTTTGTAGATATAAAACTTGTCCACGAAAAACATTCGGCATGTAGCAGTCCATATTATGTGCAGGTAAACTGTTCATGAATATCTTATACTATAGCATCATTCGCGTGTAATATTGTTCCAAAATTTTATTTGTTCAACTATTGGGATAATTTTATATAGGATAGTATAGATCTTATTAAACATAAGCATGTGTATATCCTATCTGTGCTGTTAAGATTTGAAATAAAAATATAGATGTTAAATTGACGTATACAAGCTATTATATAGATTATAATCACACTTGACGTTTCTGAAAAACCTGTTCATTTCAACAGTGTTAAAACTGGTCAATTTTATACCACATTCCCCAAAATTAAATAAACGAAATACACGCTAATCAAATCTAACTCCCATAGAATTAAAATTAGGATAAATTTCTATGTTTTCCATCAAAATTTTCTTTCAAAATCTAAAACTGCGCCTCTTATACACAAGTACTCCTTATAGAGTTTGGTTCAAAACTTCAATAATTTTCAACTTGCTTGAAGTCTGTTTGCGACCGTAGAGTACCGAAATGTCATTAAAACGTAATTAATTTGAAATAAACTTCGTCGCGTTTCAATTATACAGAGGCTTTTTAGAAAAGACATTTCAATGTTTTGCAGTTTTGAAATGCGAAAGTATTATTATAAAGCGTTTTTACTCACCCATATGTATATAGCAAGGCTAAATATGATATGCCACTGTACTTGATACTTCGTGTCTGTATATATTCGAGTTACAAGCGGGTACTGTTTGCGCGCTGTTGTGTGTAGCTGTATCACAAACCTCAAGAACGTAAAACTGGGCGTCCTATACGGTAACACGTTGCGTTTTAAAGCGAGCAAGCAGATGGCGTGTCACGTGACTTCGCGCACACCCGCGATTTTCCGTTGCGTGCGTGCCTAACTTTAAAATTGCAATAATGCTGTAATTTAAATGATTGTAGTTTAGAACATGTACGCCCTTCGCAGTATCTCATTTTATGTACAGTATTAAGTCTGTTGTATTCTTGATATCTAAAAGCTGGGCGTTCAGTGTAGGTAGTATATTCTACTGATTAAGCCATCAAATAGATCTAGAAATGATAATGAAATTTTAAGGGAAATCCTCGATCAATTTATGTATATAGAATACATACGGTCAGTCAAGTTGTATACACCTATGTAATTTAACGTGGTCTGTGTTATATTTTTCACTTGTGTGGTGTCCCGGACGTGAGTGTCTATTGAGCAGTCTACATATAGTTCTAGTATTCTACAATATATACGCTGCCGTGGTTTGTGGGTTGAGCTAGCTAAACTGATAATTAAACTGATATTTCGACGTTTTGGGAAAAGGCCTTTCAAGGCCATCAAAGATCAGCAAAAGCCGGCATATGTTTCGCTATCTGCATGTTAAGCAATTGAGGTATATCAATTTTTTAATTTGCCATGAACAACCTACAATCTATATGCACATCATAATATCACGGCAGGTGTATTCTTATATTAAAACAATCGTAGTTGTATATGTCGAGTACTAACTACTCACACTGTCTTCTTTCCTCAACTGTTTAAATAGATTCTACGTATGAAATATATTTTTGTTTGAATTTCGTGGCATTTAATGTTTCGCAACCTGAAACTATAGCAGTTGTTTTGTAAAACTTCAAGCAATTAAGTAAATCTTTCATTTGTGCTCCCCGAAGGAAATATATAATCCTATAATGAAAAGCTTTGATTGTTATAACTTCTTTTCTGCACAAACTTATCTCAGGCCAAGATAGATTTATTTGTATATATACAATCATTTATGTAAAGCCCCTTATAAGCAGTTTTGAACAAAAACCATTCCCAAAAGTTAATCCAATAATTTATAGGCTTATAGCGAATCTTCAAACACTCACTTTTTATATATTCTTGAAATAGAGTTCGTTTCTGCATGGGCGATTTGCGTTCGCCGCTTGTGAATGCGAAATGATAAATTACAACTTAAATCAGTAACCTATTACATGCTATCACACTTACTTATATTGCATGTACATCGTATACTTAGCCTAGATTATCTCAAGTTACAAAAATTGCGATACAGTACGTTTGTAATCTACTCTTGCCCTCCCCAGCAATTTTCGCTCCTGCCGGTAGAGCGAAATATGTATAACTGATATATGTATCCTGAAACTGCCTTGCTTATATTTCACTTGAGATTTTTTGGTTTCGGGAAATCTTAACACGGAAAAACCATACCCATGTGTGAATTCTAATACTGTACGAAAATTTGAGGTGCACGAAATTAAAGCTGGATTCAATTTCAGTTATGATTTATGAATTGTGAGTCGAGTAGAGCTGATTTATTCAGCACAATTCAAAAGAAATGAAATAGTTCCCTGTAAGTAGAACCCCTCTGGCGAATTTATAAGACTGAGCGAAAATTATAGGTATGGTTTTAGGCATAGTTTTAGAATTTAAATACAAGTAAGTTTTGAAATTTGCATCCTCCCCATTGACCGACCATATAATATTCATGAGGCGTGCTGAATTGCGGCAAAGTCTAAGGCAATAAACTACAAATTACGATTCATTGAGACACTTAACAAGATCAATACTTTGCTAAAGTTTTATCTCATTATACACTGGGCAAACCAAGACAAAATTGCGAACAAACAAGCTTTATCAAAAGCATATTGTTGCGATCAAAATAAACAATGTGTTTATTACGTATAGACAAGGCGTTCGCTTGCAAATTAGCAATTGAAAATGTCGCGTAAGTAAACGGTTGATTTATTAAACAATGTCAGCAAAACAATTAAAAGATGTCCAATTATATTCTCATTTGATATTGTACACAGAACAGTATATCGTGCATGATATACATATATAGATGATAGATAGCCTGCTTTAAATGAGTTTCAAAAATGGTCAGAATATTGTAACTATATTTTGTAACTCAAGTCGTAATATCTTTATCTTCTGCATGGCATAGATGCCTGCTTATTTGTTTTTAAGTGTCTAAATAATCATACCTCACATGGATTTGAACTTTTAGCGAACAGAGAAATACACAACTATACACAATATGCGATATAAGGACAATTTAAGTGTCAAGGAATTGGGGAAAGCAAAGACTCGCTTATCAGGCCATGCATGCATGCATAACAGACTGGAACAACTTGGACAGAAAGATAAAACTCTCTATAGATCCTAGTATTTCTACATTTAAGAGAAACGTTTTTCGCAATTAATCTTTGAACTTTCCCTCCGCGTATGATTTTCAAATATTTTTCATAATTATGTAGTATATATGCATGTCTTCCTTGTAAATTTGCTTATTTAGTTCACGACCTTTCTGAAAATCACTTTGCGAGAAAGTTTCCTGAAAATAAATATAATTAAAAAAAAGCCTTTATATATATATAAGTAAAAATATCTTGATGATAAAATGAAGAGAACGAAGAATTTATTTTAGAATGGCGAGCGAGCTTTGTATATATATATATATCTTGCTGCAGGACATTAAAAAATGTCGTTTGTCTCCCTATCACCGTATGAAACATTGTATCGACCAGTTTCAATCTGTGAGTCTTTGATATGATATTCTTAACTTTGTAAGAGCCTGACGAAACTTAACATGCATGCAGAAATCCTCGCCTTGCTGACAAAACCATCATGTTTTTTAAACTTTGTAATTTCATTTTGTAATTAAAAGTGATAATTTTGGGGAGATTTTTCAATTTTAAAACTGTTCTTAAAATTATCGTGTTACCATGACAATACTTCATGTTTGGAAAACATGATGGTTTTGTCAGCAAAGCGAGGGTTTCTGCATGCATGTTTCGTCAGGCTCTTACAAAGTTAAGAATGCCGTCGGTTTTTGGAAAGTCTTCATTTACCATTGCATGTCTCCACCTTCAGTTGAAGTCTGGTGTTTCCAGCATTGAATATGAAGCATTCATGTACAGTGTATTCTTCAAAGAATGGCAAAGATTTCCACTTTTATGTGAAGAGCAGAGATTTAAAACTGAATCCTATAGGAAGAGAGGATGTTGATTCATTGATATAGGATGTTGTATTCCCCATGGATCGCATTTGCATTCCCCATGGATCCCCATGGATCGCGATTTTGTTCAACTTAGTCGCAATATTTGTTCAACTCAGTTGCACTATCTCTGAGTATTCCACAGTTACCTGTATACATGGTACATGGCCAGGCACCGAGGCCTTGTATTTGTCAATATCAGGTCTGGAAAAAAGTCTGGGATCTCGAGGAACTTTCAATTTTTTACACATACGTTATGGGAGATAAGGGTTCGATAGGAAAACTCGTGTATTTTGGATAGTTTATTTCACCGTGTAAGAACACAACACATTTGGCTTTTTTAATTCAGCTTTTTTAATTCATTATTTAGTACATCAACCAAAAACGTTTGGAAAATATTGGGTAAATTGTATGTAGTGCCTCTGACACTGAAACCAACTTTTCCCGGTGTGAAAAATATCAAGGGGTTGTGGTTAAATAAATAACTACAAATGTATTATGGGTGAGAGTCTAAAACTTTCAAGAAAACCAAAGCTTGTGCTATACAAGGAACTAGAATCAACCAAATATGGTCATCTCTTCATAATTATCTAGCATCCTCTCTAATTTATACAGCATATTTTAATATATCAAGCCAAGTATTATATCTTGACACTATTTACATATACACACAGATATGAATTACGAAATCATTGACATTGTGTTTGCAAAACTATAACATTGAAAATATTCAATTCTGAAAAACAAAACGTATTTCCGGCAAAACGGAAATTAAATTTCCAATTATCTTGTTAGTTTACAAAAGTGATATCTATTTAATTTTCTGTTATTTTGACTAACAAATTAGACAAAGTATTAAAGTTTATAGCGCCACCGTTATGGAAAGATATCTTGAGATATTCATAAGCACATTATATACAATTGCAATTATCTAACAGTTCTAAACTATATTCAGGGCAGGAAAAAAGAATTTTCTTCCAGGGAGCACAACCTGGAGACAAATATTTCCTGCAGCCCAACGGAGTATTTTTGTGCTAAATCTACATGTGCATAAACATATAGTGTTCTAGCTGACCATGGTTTTAAATTCAAGGAATGTCTGTCAACCATATGTTGTTGCGCCTATAGTGGGACATGGATGTTAAGATTTCCTTCAAATTTTCAATAGCAAATCGTCATTCAAACGAATTTCCTGCAGCTGATTAACATTTCCTACGAGCAGTGAGCAGTGCTCGTGTACTCGCCTATCCCCCCATGCCGATATTCTCCCTGAAAGAGAGTTGATGAGTGTTAGCAGTCTTGAATTATGACAGGGGACATGCATTTCAAGCTCTAGAGTAACAAAAAGTTTGAGGAGTGTTCCAAATTACCGGGCTAATAAACAATTTTTCAAC